TCCTAAGGGACATACCAGTGGAAACAAAAGATATAACATGTTTATTCCTGAGTGCTGCCCCCAGTGGTAACAAAGGATATAACAAGTTTATCTCTGAGTGCTGCCCCCAGTGGTAACAAATAATATAACAAGCTTATTCCTGAGTGCTGCCCCCAGTGGTAATAAAGGATATAAAACATTTATACCTGACTGCTGCTCCCATTGGTAACAAACGATATGACATGTTTATTCCTGAGTTCTGCCCCCAGTGGTAACAAAGTATATAACACATTTATTATAAGATACTCAAAATAACTAGTACCTGAGTATCCACTGGAATAATGAATAGTAATGATTCTATACAAAGTGAGATATAGATATATATATATATATAATGAGAAAATACAATAATAGAAAGATGGGTCAGGTGAAAGTAGAAAATAACTGCCTAATGGCAAAAAACTCCCTTCCTAATGTCTCTAAAAGTAGATACTGCAGTACACCGGTTTAGACTTTAATATATAATGCTTCATAGGTCAATATCTGTGACTGCAGACTGGTATCAATACATCCAAAGAATATATAAGAGACATTAAGGACTTGCTTTTACCTAGTAAGTCTCAAGCTGTGGCATTATATAAGATATAATACTAGATTGCTAGCATATTGGAACATTAAAGGCTGAGTAAGCAGAAAATTATAAATAGATACTATATGTGGGATCTATCGAAAATAATTCAATCGGTAAATTGTATCAAAAAAGTATCTATAATGTTAACTGCCATGTACTCGATTGCTAGCATATTGGGACATAAGTAACTGAATAAGCAGAAGAGTATAAATAGATACTATATATTGGATATAAAATAATCCAAAAAATAAAGTGTATTAAGAGTAGTATCTATCATAATAACTGCATCACAAGAGCACCGAAACGCGCGTCGGGTTATTTTGGAGGGGGGGGTGGTTTCTTTCCCCTCATCTTTTTCACTTATAGGGCACTCTGTCACCATGTGCAGGTAGCCAGCATTCTAAGCATGGCTCTGCACATTTAGCACACTGTTTTTTCACTATTCACTTTATCTCTCTCTTATGCTTTATACCTCCTAATATGTGGCATATTATATAACTGATCCATTTGTGGATATATTTTGTCTATTCAATAATTTTGGACTTAGTTTATATGTGGCAGTTATTATGATAGATACTACTCTTAATACATTTTATTTTTTGGATTATTTTATATCATCATTATTCATTATTCCAGTGGATATTCAGGTTCTAGTTATTTTGAGTATCTTATCGTTTTTCTAATCAGGGGTTATGCCCCAAGACACAACTGGAGTGTCTTATAAGGTGTGATCATCTACAGGCTAAGTGGTCTAGTCATTTTTTTAGACAGCCATTGCCTGTAGACGGCCTTCCTTTTTCTTGTTTGATATAACACATTTATACCTGACTGCTGCTCCCATTGGTAACAAACGATATGACATGTTTATTCCTGAGTTCTGCCCCCAGTGGTAATAAAGAATATAACACGTTTATTCCCGAGTGCTGCCCCGAGTGGTAACAAAGGATATAACAAGGTAATGCTGAGTGCTGCCCCCAGTGGTAACAAAGGATATAACATGTTTATTCCTGAGTGCTGCCCCCAGTGGTAACAAAGGATATAACAAGTTAATCCTGAGAGCTGCCCCCAGTGGTAACAAAGGATATAACACGTTTATTCCTGAGTGCTGCCCCGAGTGGTAACAAAGGATATAACAAGGTAAACCTGAGTGCTGCCCCCAGTGGTAACAAAGGATATAACACGTTTATTCCTGAGTGCTGCCCCGAGTGGTAACAAAGGATATAACAAGGTAATCCTGAGTGCCGCCCCGAGTGGTAACAAAGGATACAACAAGTTAATCCTGAGTGCTGCCCCCAGTGGTAACAAAGGATATAACACATTTTTTCCTGAGTGCTGCCCCAAGTGGTGACAAGGTTCATTCCTGAGTACTGCCCCCAGTGGTAACAGAGGATATAACAAGTTTATTCCTGAGTGCTTCCTCAAGTGGGAACAAAGGATATAACAAGTTTATTCTGAATGCTGCCCAAAGTGGTAACCAAGGATATAACTAGTTTATCTTGAGTGCTGTCCCCAGTGGTAACAAAGAATATAACACTCCTACCTACAATAATATCCTTCTCCTGTACTGGGGAGATAATTTAGTCAAGCACTATACTAAACTCAGAAAGTACCCCAAACTCCATGGAAACTCCACAAAAGTCATATCCCCTGATAGCTCTGTTCTGGGGGAACAACATATTCAAAAATCACCCAGATCAGTTGAGGGGTTCAACAGTTATGTGGAGGTCTTAATTTGACTGACCGCTCACGATGCTCCTGCCAAGAAATAGAAATGAAATTGGGCTGTGCAGTCAGTCTATTTCGAAGAGTACAAAAAACAAATAAATCCATGAACGGTTCCCCTGGCTCATAGGTAGCGTTTGTTCCCCGAGTTCGTGGGAACAAAGCTACCAAATCTACCAAAAAGTGCTCTCCTGGCTGGTCTTTGAAAGGAAGCAGGCATTCGTGCAGTTTGACGGGCATTCGGGGCATTTGACGATCAAGTACTGTTGCCTTCTTTCGTGAAAACAAGTTGGCCACGGTTTTTCCTTGCACGTGGCGTTTGGCTAGAAGAGAACACTTTTGTGGTTTGCTTTGAAGTGAATGAGCCAGGAGGTGGTTGGTGTTCAGTAGTTTTATATACCGATCAGGAAAAACAAAAGTAATGAAATAACAGGGGTAGTTTCTTCACATTGCTCCCTCATGGGTCAGCATACCCACCTAGACCCTGCCAGGTTGGCTTGGGGAAGTCAGTCAAGATTCCAGTTCAGTTTGTCGGGATAAACCATCCGCATTGCCGTTCTGTTTGCCTGGCCTATACTGCATGGTAAAATTGTAGGGTTGCAGGGCTAGGCTCCAGCGTAACAAATGGGGATTGTCTCCAGCAACTCGTTTTAACCAAATAAGGGGGTTATGATCAGTCATTAGCATGAAGGGTTGGCCATACAGGTATAGCTACAATTTCTTTAATGCTCACACAAGAGCTAGGCATTCTTTCTCCACGTGGCATAACTGACCTCTCTGGGTAATAGTTGGCCAACACAGGTGTCTCGCTCAGTGCCGTTTTGAGTTGCTGGAAAGCTGGAGCGCACTCCGGAGACCAGGCTACCTGTCTGGGAAGGGACATTTTGGTCCCGTCAGTGAGAGGTTTGGCCAGGACACTGTATGTTACAAGAACCCTACAAACTGTTGCAGAAGTACTTCTTTTTGTTTCTCAATACCCTGTTCGGTATTCAGACCGTGCGAATATATTCCCCGACCAGTTGTAACTATTTATTCGTGTATACGAATGACGTACCACCCAGTGTGCCGGCACTTAACCCCGGTTGAAAGTACTGAACAGCCGACCACCCCAAGGCACACCTCGTCAACATGCCCATTATAGAGGAGCCATTTAGCCGGGTAGCCATCGATTTAGTAGGGCCACCCCCAGTCCATCCGGGAAGAGATATATTCTTACCGTGGTGGACAATGCTTTTCGCTTCCCAGAGGCGATCTATCCAACATCCAAGCAGACACCGTAGCCAATGTGTTGGTTCAGGTATTCTCTCGGGTAGGATTTCCCAGGGAAATCCTATCCAACTGGGGCACCCAGTTCACTGCCGAACTAACGCAACAGCTATGGCATGTATGCAAAATAAAATCCCTACTCAGCTCCCCTTACCACCCGCAGACGAATGGGCTCTGTGAGAGGTTCAATGGAACCCTCAAACAAATGCTAAAAACTTTTACCCAGGAATATAGGGACTGGGAACGCTTCCTGCCACATCTCCTGTTCGCTTACCGGGAGGTGCCCCAGGAAACGATAGGGTTCTCTCCCTTTGAGCTGCTATAAAGACGCAAGGTACGGGGACCCCTGAACTTTATCCGTGAGCACTGTGAGGGGGAGACAGAGAATGCCGGAGTCCCCATCATACCTTACGTGCTGGAACTTCGGGACCGTATGGAGCAATTAGCCCGGTCAGTCCAGGCTAACCTCCAGGCGGCCCAGAGGCAACAGAAAGTCTGGTATGACAGGGGGGCACGGAGGAGGAGTTTTTATATAGGACAGAAGGTTATGGTTCTCAAACCTGTTAAAACATACAAATTACAAGCCGCCTGGCAGGGACCTTACCAAGTAGTAGAGAAATGCAGGGACACTACATACGTGATTGCTAGCTGCCACGATGAAAGTCTGCAGAAAGTATTCCACGTAAATATTGTGGGGATATTTATGGGATGATAATATTAAACAGTCGAGAATTGCCCACTATTTCAATTCTCTTAGATCTCAGAGATCGTTATCATGTAAGTGAAATGTATTCCATACAAATAAAATCACAATTTGTTATAAAAATAGATTTAATTTATTGTGACAAATTAAATAACAATATTAGGCAGCATGCATAATAATAATCAGTGAATATTTAGTATAACATAAGTATGTAATACAATGGCAATGAATAAACACATTACAAAGCTACAAAACTTCACACAGCCCAGCCATGAAACCTTGGCTAACAGTTAAATCAACTGAGTAACCCTTTCAATGCTGGCTAGATCCTCCTAGGCATATAATATCCTATTCTCATGTAATTTTCAATTAAAATAACATTCGAACCAACTCAATCATTTCCTGGAACCATCCAATAAGAATAATCTACCAGATTTTTACAAAAGCCGAATTTTAATTTGCCTAAAAAGATATCTTATTTTATATTAGAGCAAATCAATACACCTGGATAAAAACAACGGTATGCTAACACGTGATACTATCACATTAATATATAATTATTCTTAATTCCACCTGCAGAATGGAATGTTTATAACTATATACGCTTTAGTTAACTAAGATTTCTAAATATTGAAATCTGACCGTGATTTATCCAGTCATATATCATGCTATTAGTAAATTTTAATTAATTTAAATTAATTAAATAAAACCAGCATAATTACTAGTTATGTAGGTATTCTCATCAGATGAGTAGGTAGTCCCAGGAAAATGCGAGTATGATTGGTTGTATGGAGGTGCGTGAGTAATAGAGAAAAGTGATGTTGGTTAGAAAGTATCAGTAAACTTTAAGTGTCATGGAGTTTAAGAGTTGAGTGTTAGTCCCAGAGAGTGTCCTGAATCTCTCTCTCTGCATGTCCAAGTCTGAATGCCCAAACTCCACCAACTACCCCTCTCTCCCCTTTGTCCTAACTTTTAAAGGGCCAGACTCTCTGTACGTCATTAGTTGATAAGGCCAATAGGAGACTGTAGGTGTGGTCATCCTGCAGATCGCAATTTAGATATTTGATCCATAGAGGGCAGTCTTGCCTCACTAAACCTTCCTATCCAGGAAAGAGTTAACGTTTCCTGATGACGATTTTGACGTCATTTGGCTTATCTAGAATGACTACCATAACTTAAATTTGCTGTCAGTTCAAAGCGTTTGTCTCAGTCTTTGTGGCAACTACTTTGATCGTAATTTCTAAAATTGACAGTTCTAAACTCAATTTCACCCCTTACTTACAATGGGACCTTGTAAAATTTAGAAAGTAAAATTAATTGCTTAGTCTTCTTTGTCACTAGTGTCTGTGTTTATATTATATTCCTTAGCTCAGGCTCAGTGATTAGTGAAAGCAAGGATATTATGTGTCTTTGTTATCCTGAAGATAGCAAAATGGAGTCTGCTCTGTTCTGAGTGACTCTGGCAATATACACTTTTAATTTCTATTTTAGCACAAAAATGTCTGCCGATATAAATATCCTGACAAAATGCTTAAGGAATACCTAGAAAGACAGGAAGATGTGGAAGCCATATGCAGCCCCGCTTGCGAAGACCCCGATAGCCTTCTCATACCCGACCTGTTAGACCAGGACCTCCAGTATGAACCAGGTGCAGATAGGGGACAGACTTAATCCAGTATAGAGGGAGCAGCTACACAAACTACTACAGGAAAAACACTCTATCTTTTCTCAGGAACCCGGGTACACAGACTTAGCCACTCACCAAGAAGATACTCCAGGGCAGCAACCCTTAAGGCAGGCCCCCTACCGGATCCCCGAAGCAGTTAGGGCACAGATGAAGAAAGAGACAGACAAGATGCTCAGACTAGGGGTCATTGAATCCTCTGATAGTCCCTGGGCGTCCCCGGTGGTGCTAGTACCCAAGAAAGATGGCACTACCAGATTCTGTGTGGACTATCGGAAACTCAATGATAAAACCGTAACCAATGCCTACCCAATGCCCAGGGTAGCTGAGCTACTAGATCGCATAGCCAGGGGAAATTACTTAATGACCACTGACCTCTGTAAAGGTTACTGGCAAATTCCCCTAGCCAGGGAAGCTATCCCCAAGTTGGCATTCGTCACCCCGTTCGGCCTGTACCACTTTAAGGTCATGCCATTCAGGATGAAGAATGCCCCTGCCACATTCCAGCGCTTGGTGGATAGACTCCTTGATGGCTTTCAGGATTTTGCCTGTGCCTACCTGGATGACATAGTGATCCACAGTGAGTCCTGGGAGGAACACCTAGCTCATGTTGGAATGGTCCTGGATCAGATTCGGGCCGCGGGCCTGATGCTGAAACCAGAAAAATGCCATTTTGGGATGGATGAGGTACAGTACCAGGGTCACCAAGTGGGGTGCGGAAAGCAGCGACCTGAGCCAGCCAAGATAGAGGAGGTCGCAAATTGGCCCACACCTCACACCAAGACCCAAGTACTAGCCTTCTTGGGCACTGCTGGTTATTACAGGAGATTTGTACCAAACTATAGTGCTATTGCCAAACCCCTGACCGACTTGACAAAAAAAAATCTTCCCCGACAAGTCCTGTGGTCTCCCCACTGTGAAACAGCCTTCCAGACCCTAAAAAGTGCTCTAATTAATGCTCCAGTCTTGGCTGGCCCAGCCCCTAATAAACGTTTTATCGTCCATACAGACATAGAAACATAGAATGTGACGGCAGATAAGAACCATTCGGCCCATCTAGTCTGCCCAATTTTCTAAATACTTTCATTAGTCCCTGGCCTTATCTTATAGTTAGGATAGCCTTAGGCCTATCCTACGCATGCTTAAACTCCTTTAATGTGTTAACCTCTACCACTTCAGCTGGAAGGCTATTCCATGCATCCACTACCCTCTCAGTAAAGTAATACTTCCTGATATTATTTTTAAACTTTTGTCCCTCTAATTTAAGACTATGTCCTCTTGTTGTGGTAGTTTTTCTTCTTTTAAATATAGTCTCCTCCTTTACTGTGTTGATTCCCTTTATTATTTAAATGTTTCTATCATATCCACCCTGTCTCGTCTTTCCTCCAAGCTATACATGTTAAGATCCTTTAACCTTTCTGGTAAGTTTTATCCCGCAATCCATGAACCAGTTTAGTAACCCTTCTCTGAACCCTCTCTAAGGTATCAATATCCTTCTGAAGATACGGTCTCCAGTACTGTGTACAATACTCCAAGTGAGGTCTCACCAGTGTTCTGTACAATGGCATGAGCACTTCCCTCTTTCTACTGCTAATACCTCTCCCTATACAACCAAGCATTCTGCTAGCATTTCCTGCTGCTCTATTACATTGTCTGCCTACCTTTAAGTCATCAGAAATAATCACCCCTAAATCCCTTTCCTCATATGTTGAGGTTAGGACTCTATCAAATATTCTGTACTCTGCCCTTGGGTTTTTACGTCCAAGATGCATTATCTTGCACTTATCCACATTAAATGTCAGTTGCAACAATTCTGACCATTTTTCTAGTTTACCTAAATCATTTGCCATTTGGCTTATCCCTCCTGGAACATCAACCCTGTTACATATCTTTGTATCATCAACAAAAAGACATACCTTACCATCAAGCCCTTTTGCAATACCATTAATAAAAATATTAAAGAGAATGGGTCCAAGTACA